GGAGAGAGAGGAGAGAGAGGAGAGAGAGGAGAGAGAGGAGAGAGGAGAGAGAGGAAAGAGAGGGGGAGAGGGGTAGGGGAGAGGAGAGAGCAGAGGGAGGGAGAAAGGGAAGAAAAAAAGAGGTGAACAGGTCAGGAGGACTTGGCTGTCATGATGGGTTAATCCACTCATGGATTAATGAATTATTAAGAGTAGGTCTGTTGTAAAAGTCAGTTTGGCTAAATATGTATGTTCTCTTTAGGTGGCATCCTACTAAAGGATAACAAATAAGAGTTTTCTTTATGTCATTTAATGTCTTGTGATCAGATGCAGGTGTTTCAGTGAAAGACTATTCCGTACTAAGATAGATGCATAAGTGTTACAAAGACAATGTCATCATGATTGTCAGGCTAAAATACTACGTGTGGCTCTTGATCTTAAGTTTCTCTGTAATATGTAACTGTTGTCTGTTAACATTCTACTGGGATTCAACTACTAAAACCACCATGGTTGGTAAGAAATAACAGCCCTCTAACTGTGCTTTATACTTCAAAAGTGCTTGATGTCTTTGTTAGGTATTTCAGAGCCCCCATAGAGCAAGCCTCCTCCTCTCCTTTCCCCTTGCCCCACTCTGGCCACAGGGAACAGGGAACTTCTGCATAACTAAGGCATGACCTCCCTTTGTTAGTGACTCTCTGCCTAGTTAAGGTCTATCTGGCCCACCGGTTTCGTAGTCAGATGTTCCAGTAAGATAGGGGCTTCCCGAAAGCAATTACTCCATCCCCTTAACAGAAACCTGTTGCTACATACTCCAGCCCCAATTACCCACGCCCCACCAATGGAGAAGTGCTTTCCCACCTGCAAAATCCTATATAAACCTCCAGCTCAGCCCATGCAGTTGCTGGTCTCCATTCTGTGAGTCAGCCTGGCAGGCTGCAGACTGCCGCCCCAATAAAGCTTACTTGAATATATGTGTGCCCCTTCCTTTTGGCGACCCTTTCAGTCTTAACTATTATAATACTTAAGCTAACTGCTCCTACTGAAATACTTACCTCACTGATCTTCTCTTCTGGGTGTTCAACAGCTAAAGTTTGGAGACCAAAACTAGAAAGGTAACTGGGCTAAGAGGACAGCCAATATTTTGGTCCTTGCCCCTCAAAGTCAACAAAGATCCAGGACACAAAGGAACTTTTCCTTCAGGATCCTACATCTTTGGTGTCACTCAACCTCCTGAGCAGGGAGATTGCAGGGCACCAGAGGACAAATGTACTATGTGCCAAAGGAAGGTCACAAAGAGGGAAAAATCTCCCATGCTTTCACTGAAAGCAACATGGTCAAGTAAGGCTGTGACCCATCCTGACGGCTGACAGAGGAGCTGAGAAGCTCTATGCATGGTTCCAAAGTAATGCCTGAGGAGACTTAACAGACCTTCATAGATAGCAAGAGGTTCATACTGATCGACAGGTCTCACTTTAACTTGGTCTTAAACACCCAGCAGAAAAGAATAACCAAAAGAGGGATAAAATAATGCCATAGTAATAAAGCTAGATGTAAAAAGGGGCTCCAGTCACTGACCCTTTCTGGCAGTTTCCAGCTCTACCAGTAGCTGACATGATAATGGATCATTAGAAAAAAAACTATGGTAAAATCTATAAGAGCTCAGCTAGAGTTTTATATTTCTTAGTGAAATTTGTTCTTCAAATCGTCTCTTATCTTCTTATAGCTGAAACTAGAGAAATTTATGACAAAGTATCAGACTTATAGATAACCTCTTATCAATAAAAGAATCTAAGAGTCAGCAGGTTACAATCACTATTTCAATTTCTAAGTGTGACTTTCTCCCCAACCTGCCCTTTCATTCTATTGTGCTCATGCTTAGAGTATAGATGTTCTAATTTCCTTAAAGTTTTGTTTATTCTTGCCTAAAGGCTGCCAAACTCCAAGCAGTCATACAAATGGAACCACTGACAAATGTGCTAGACTTCTTTTACTAGGATCCACCAGATTGACTTTATAAACAGCTCATAACTGCTAAACTATACAATATGACTTCTATGTTGGCTTCTGAAGTCCCCTGGACCTTCTCCTTATCCTCTTTGTGGGAAGCTATTACTAGTTCCTCCCAGTGGAGACCCTTGTTGGCTATATTCATAGCAATCCTGCTGACCTTATAATTTGGCCCATAAATTAACTGTTTCTTTGGCTTTGTCTCCCCCAGACTCAAAGCTACACGGCTACCAAGATGACAATGCTAGATAAGACTGTAGAGTAACTAACTGCTGATTACAACTATGACCCTCTTTAGCTGGAAGTAGCCAGAACTGTCTTTACCCTTTGCCCCCTCATAGCAGTTAGGGGTGCTTCTTCAGAGGGGGTAATATTACAGATAGCTAAGTTAATTAGATATCTTGTTGGCAGGTAGACAGGGCCTCTCTTAAGATGCCAGCCCTCCAGGGGCCAACACAGCAAGGGACCAACATGAACAATTGAGGCACATTCACTGATTAGCATTATAAAAAGGAAAAGATGTACTACTTCCCCTAGAGATAGACAGCAGTGATGGATATTTTAAATGAGAAATTCCTTGTATGTGACTTGTCTTCCCATTTGATCCTCATTTAATCAATATTACGGATGACTGTACTTGTAATCTTATTGGTTGGTCATGGTTTTGCCCCACCTCATGCCCACCTTGGAAATTTGTCTTGGGTCTTAAGAGTTTTGTCCCACTTTGTACCCGCCTCACCACATGGCTTTGTTGTATAAAAACATCTTCGAAAACTGGGGTGGATGGGCAACCCACTTTCTGGTCCCCCTTCTGTGTCTCTTAGACAGAAGCTTTCTTTCTCCTACTCTTAAAAAAAAAGTCAGTTTGGCTATCTCTTTTATGTGCCCCCTTTGCTATGTGATATTTTGTACTGGTGTGAGACTCCACAGAAACCTCCCCACCAAAAAGACCTTCACTGGAGGTGGCCCTTCAATCTTAGACTTACCAGTCTCAGGTATTCTGTAACAGCAACAGAAAATGGACTAAGACATTCCATAATAGCTATTTACATTAATCTCATAATATGGATCAACTACAATTATTTAATATCCTCCTTGGATCAGAATTTTTTTTTTTTGAGACAAGGTCTCTCATGTAGTTCAGGCTGTCCTTGAACTCACTATGGAGCCCAGGTTGGCCTCAAACTGGCAGTGATCCTCCTGCCTTAGGGGACCAAGTGCTGGGATTACAGGTGTGTGCCACCACACCTGGCAAGGATTAGAAATTTTTTGAAGTAGAGAATACAGTCTATATTTGTTATTCTAACTCCAGTCATTAATATTTATACAAAATAAGAAGGTATACAGGCTTGGGATTTAGCTCACTGGTTCTGCTGCCTGCCTCGCAAGCACAAGGTCCTGAATTCAATCCCTCGTACCAAAAAAAAAAAAAGAAGCTATACTTTGTTTGGACTAAACATTTAAAACTCTCTGTGACCTTGGATTCTAGCTAAACATGATTTTCCTTAGTTATTATTTCCATATCAAAATAGAAAGATGCCAGTTATCCTGTATGTAGGAGAAAAATCTCTCTACCTTCCCACTTCATTAAGAACCTTAACCGTCTGAAAGTAAAGTCTCAGTATGCCCAATAATTATTATATACTTGAAGAGATGGAACTTATGGAAGACTGGAAGAGAGAATGTGATCAAGGCTTTGTGTGCATGATGCTATAATTGTTATAAATCTCTTTCCCCTCAGAAGGTAGGGAACTTTGCCTACCTGTACCTAATTTCAGGTGCACAGTATATGCTTAATTATTTATTTGTGAAATGAACCAGTAAACTACTATGGTTTTATAATTCTCCCTACTGCTGACACAAATAAAAGGAATGTCTTTTTTGGATTACTATATATCACTGTCAAGTAATTAAAATGTATTTTTATATTAAAAATTGGTGAATGAGACACACCTTTAGGTGATAGTGTTTGTTTTTTGGTACTGGGGATCAAAATCAGGATCTTGCACCTGCAAGGTAGGCAAGGTCGGTGTCACTGAGCTAAATCCCCAGCACAGGGCGAGTGTTTTAATAACAAAGCTCATTCTTCACAGGTTGCTACTACAAGGGTTTTCCAGGCAAATCTCAATTAATAAATAATACTTTCCTAATTAATATACCCAGCATCAGAAATGGATTTTTGCTGATGAAAATAGTGATCATTTATTAAGTATTACTAATGCTAATCGCTTCTCAGCCTTTTGGCTAAGATCAAGTGAAGTATTACTAATGCTAAAAATTGGCTCATGCTGGGGGATATTAAAAGTACTTAAGATAAATAGATGGGATAAAAAATATGTATGTAAGTTCGATCCCTGGTACCAAAAAAAAATGTATGCATATATATTATTGTTGTTGTTGTATTTTTGTTCGTTTGCTTTTTGGGTACCAGGGATTGAACTCGGGACCTTGCGCTTGCAAGGCAGGCGCTCGAATCACTGAGCTAAATCCCCGGTCCTGTTGTTGTATTTTTGAGACATGGTCTTGCTATGCAATCCAAGCTGATCTTCAACTCAATATGTAGCCCAGGCTGGCCTTGAACTTGTGATCCTGCTGCCTCAACCTCCAAAGTGCTGGAATTACAGACATGCGTCACCTTGATTGGCAAAATTACACACACACACGTACACGGTGGGGAGTACTGGGGATAAGCCCAGGGCCTTTACACTGAGCTATATCCTCAGTTCTTATTTTTTACATTTTGAGACATTGTGCTAACTTGCTCAGACTGGACTTGAAATTGTAATCTTCCTGCCTCAGCTTCTCAGAGTGCATATCCAGTGGCATGCCACCATGCCTGGCTTAAAATATACATATTTTTGACACAGGGGTCTTGACATGTTTCCCAGGCTGGCTTTGAACTCTTCTGCCTCAACCGCCTGAGTAGCTGCAACTACGGGAATCTGCCATCATTCCCAGCTGGCTGAAGTTTTTGAGATTCTATCCAGAATAGCATGAAAAGGAAGAGAAATTCAATGTCTATGGGTTCTTCTCTGATGGATAATGCCTCCATTCTAAAAATTCTGAGAAGTCCTATGTCTTTTTTTTGATGAATGAAGCTTCCTTGTTTGATGATAGTTATATGGTTAAGAGACTCCTGCATCTGGAATCTCAGTACATCTCAAGTAAATCTTTTATGTGAAGTGGTGGCTGGACAGAGCTGAGGCTCTGAGCTTACTACATAGGATACATACACTATGTGTGCCCTGTTTTGTTGTTGTTGGTTTGTTTGTTTTTGGTGCTAGGGACTGAACCCAGAACCTTGTACATGTTAAGGCAAGCATTCTACCACTGAAGTACATCCCAAGTGGGCTTTTTAAATAGTAATTATTTTATACCTAAGTATAAATTTTTTTTTTGGTACTGGGAATCGAATCCAGGACCTTCTGCTTGCAAGGCAGGTGTGGTGCCACTGAGCTAAATCCCCGGCCCTCCTAAGTATAAATTTGTTGATAGAACCAGAGCTGTTCTTCCCAAAGTGGTGTTCTTTGGTGCGTACAAGTCTATGTCATAGCACCTAAGCTCTGGAAATTGGAACATGTTGTATCTGTATATAGACATATCTCATTCTAGTCTCCATAACTTAAATTCCTGAGACCATTATCATGGGATACTATGCCTGCCCTGTGCTATCACCACTGTGCATGATCTGTAAGAAAGGCTTTTTTGTTTGCCTGCTAATAAATTAGTTAATAAATGTATGTATAGTTAAGTTTGATCTTAAACCTTTAGGTTGTACAGGGAGTAGCTAACCCTGACATCTCAAACTTCTTTGGGAGATACTTACATATCAAAAGGAAACTGTGATCCTATTACTGTACCTTTTTGCTTACTTGTGCCTTCTAAAACTTCATTGATTCCTATATTCCAGATACTTGCTAACAGTTTCTCATACAGAAAACACAAAACAGGCAAGAGATCTAGAATTTCCCAGTTAAAGTCTGATTCTTGGTTTTGTAGGGCAGAAAAACCACCCAGGATAGGTAAACAACATGTCTGAAAAACACAGAAAGTTACCTTTTGATTGACTGATTGATCGAATTTACCTTTTGGCATTTTGTCTAGTTTACCATCTTATGTGCTTCTCATGGCTCAGAAATAAAATACACAAAAAGAACTGAGTGTAGCCAGGGATTTAGCTCAGTGGTTCTGCCGCCTGCCTCACAAGCGCAAGGTTCCAAGTTCCATCCCTGGTACCAAAGAAAAAAAAATAACTGAGTGTAGCCTATGTACCCTTAAAAGGAGTCAATTTTTAAAAGATTATTAAAGGATCTTTTTAGTGAGTGAAATCTTAAAAGTTAGATCCCAATTAGAAACTATAATGACCATGAATATTTGTGCAATTTAAAAAATTGCCTTTAAAGGTAGGGGATTTAGCTCAGTGGTTCCACCTGCCTCGCAAGCTAAGGACCCGAGTTCAATTCCCAGTACTAAAAAAAAAAATTGCCTTTAAAGGGCTGAGGGTATATAGCTCAGCAGTACAGTACCTTCCTAGCATGTGCAAGGTCCTAGGTTTAATCCCTATCACTGCCATTTTTTTTAAAAAAGGCCTTTGACATAGTGAATTTTTTCTAGGAATTTATCCTAAAGATGTAGGTCAAAGAATAGGGCTGGTGATTTAGCTCAGTGGCACTGTGTCTGCCCGGCAAGCACAAGATCTTGAGTTCAATTCCCAGTACCGGAAAAAAAAAAAAAGAATAAAATACCTCAGCAAAGTTCTGTACAACTGGAAACAACCTAAATGTCCCATGTTGTGACATTAAGTAACTAAACACAGTACATATACATACATGTACATGCGCGCGCGCGCACACACACACACACACACACACACACACATTAAATCCATGAGGCTGGAGTGTAGCTCAGTGGTAGAGTGCTTGCCTAGCATGGATGAACTCCTGGGTTCTACCCTACTACCACAAAAAGTAATTGAAAGGAAAAAGAAATGGGTAAATGAGGCATATAAATACTAATTATTTGATTTTCCTTTTTTTGAAAAAAAGATTATTAGGACCTGAAGTTTTACCATGAGGGTAGCAACGGGGTCCAGTCTGACATGTGGTAGCAGAATCACCTATTATCAATGATGGCGAACCATTTAGAGCTTTCATTGATAACAAAGAACCTGCTGCCACGCACGTGCCATAGGTTCGCCATCACTGACCCATATACTTATGAACAGGACATTTTTTAACTTGTCTCCTCACAAAGATCACTGATAGCTACCTTGTTTCCCCTGTGCTATTTTTATATTTAATTAAATGTCTCTTATGTGCTTTATTAATGTGTATGAGTAGACTAGCTCTACGGAGAGAAGCACCTGCCTCATTTTTATCTCAAACTTCTTTCTTTCTCTCCCTTTCCTTCCTTCCCTCCCTCCTTCTCTCTCTCCCTCCCTCTCTCCTTCATTCCTTCCTTTCCCCCTCCTCTCTCTCCCTCCCTCCCTCTCTTTCCTTTCTTCCTCTCTCTCTCTCTCTCTCTCTCTCTCTCTCGTATGTGAGCCAGGTGTGCTGGTCCATGCCTGACATCCCAGCACTTGGGAGGCTAAGACAAGAGGACTGCAAGTTTAAGTCCCACCTGTGCAATTAAGTGTGACCCTATCTCAAAATAAAAAGGGCTGAGGATGTAGCTCAGTATGAAGGCTTTGGGTTCAATTTCCAGTACTGAAACAAAACAACTCAAAAAACCCCACATGTGCATTGTTCAACCAATCTTCTTCACAGTTCCATGTTTCCTGACACCCACTGTGTTATATATTATGTAATCAAAAGTGTACTGTAGGGCCAGGGATTTAACTCAGTGGTGCCGCTGTCTTGCAAGCACAAGAATCCAAGTTCAATCCCCAGTTCCAAAAAAAAAAAAAAAAAAGTGTACTGTACATAGCATGTTAAAATGGATCACTTACCACCATCTGTCATTTCAAAATCATCACTTATATCATTATTATATGTCACAATTTCTCTTGGAATACTTTTCAACAGAACGCTTCTATATACCTATAGGTCAGAGTGGGGGAAAAGGATTGCTAAGTCACAAAGAGGCAGAAGTTAAGCAAAATCAAACCAATTAAAAATGTGTATCATATGGATGATAATCAAGGGTAAAATGTCATTAATTCTGGTAATTAGAATAGGGAATACTGAGAAGAGCCTACCACTTAAAACATGCCACTTAGTTTACTAAAAAGAATGATGGCTGATGAGTAGGTTTTACCAAATGAAAGCAACTTCAAAGACATGAACTCATTCTTCCTTTTAATTCCTTACACAAAGCTGGGTGTGGTGGTGCACACCTGTAATCACAGCACTAGGGAGGCTGAGGTAGGAGAACTGCTGTGAGTTCCAGGCTAGCCTGGGCTACATAGTGAGTTCAAGGCCAGCCTGAACTAATAGTGAGAATTTGTCTCAAAAAAAAAAAAAAAAAAAAATTCCTCCCACAAGAATAATTTGGTCTCACTGGGCTGTCCCTAGCTTATTACCATCTCTTTTTTTTTGGTGACCACATGAAATTTTTTCCCCTCTCTGCCCCTGAACTCTTTCTTACCTCCAAGATAGACAGAAAAGCATGATAAGCATGATCTATCCTACTTCATCCTATAGGTTACTGGTATTGAGAGGATATTCAAAAAGTAGTAGCTGACCCAGTTTTGATCCATACTAACATCACCTTATGTGTCTTTAGAGCCAATCAGGACCTCTCTAGGCTCTGTTCCTGAGGGATTTTTCCTAAAGAGGCCCTGAAACTCTTGGTTTGTCACAAGATTTAATAAGTGCCTGTACTTGGTTTTTTGTTTGTTTTGGTGCCGGGACTGAACTCAGGTCCTTGTGCTTGCGAGGGAGGCACTGGAACCACTGAGCTAAATCCCCGGGCCTTGTACTTGGTTTTTTAAATGTCCCTATCCTGCTCACTATTGGTGTATTTTGAGGATTAAGGAGAGAGGTCAATCTATTTTGGGGTTCTCTTAGAAGGAGGTTTGACTACTTGCCCTACCTCTGATTTTCTGTCTACAACCTCCAGGGGCAGAGAAGAAGTCATTATTCTCCCAAAGAACAGAGCAACAAGGTACTTTAGTGGTCAAAGCTTTAAGGTAAAAAAAAAAAAAAAAAAAGCTTTAAGGTAACTTCCTTGTGTCCTTCAGCTCAACACTAGCAATGCAAAGGAAATATTCATTAAATGCTTACTATGAGCCAGGATATTATGCTGATACTTTACATTTCCATGACAGGGTTCTTACTCTGGCTATTATTATAAATTATCAGAGGGCTGGGGATTTAGCTCAGTGGTATTGCTGCCTGCCTCGCAAGCGCAAGGTCTGGAGTTCGATCCCAAGTACCAAATAAATAAATAAATAAATAGACATTTAACATTTATGTAAAGATGCAAACATTAAGATTCTTCACAGATGGCAAAAGACGCTGTAGGTAAGTTAATAAATCCTCAAATTTCATTGGATTTAAACATCATCAGAGAATCAAATTTCATACAATTAAAGAACATTACTATTATGCATATCTTTCATTACATTTTCTAGTGAAACATATTTTCTCTCAGCAAATGAACAAACAAAATGGCAGAACTTGTAAGTATATGCAGGTATATGGATGAATCATAACCAGACAGATTTCTGGCTCCCATGTGAAAGTGTCCTTTAATGAACTATCTCTTGAGTTTAATGGTATCCATTAACCCTGAAAAATCTAAAGTACAGTAAAACTATAAAGGTAGTTTACTTTTTATATGACTTGTCAGCAGAGAAATAGTACAAATCTATTTCTGGACAGTAGAAGAAATAATGTAACTCACGTGACTATTAGCTTGGGGCTGATTCCTATAACTTTTCATTATTTCTTGAAAAGTTCTTTCTTCTTTTGTTACCTAAGGAAAATAAAAACTTCATTTATCAACTGCTTTTGAAAGAAAAATGGCTCTGAACAAAAACTTTCATTATAAGTTGGCACTGAGAGCAGCCTTTCAGAAAGCCATTAAACCCAGGCCAATCCATGACTAAAAACCACTAATATTTATGATTTTTACTACTTTTGAAGTTCAGGCTTTGTGGCCTGTGGGGCCTCAGTTAATAGTTTCATTAATCAAAAAGCACTGAAATTGCTATGGTATAACTCTACTGAAAATGCTTTTCTTTATAACTCAGACCTGCTGAATCCCCTGCAGTCTCGTTTTATTAGTTTTAAGTACTTATTTAAAATAAAATTAACCAGATACTACAGGACAGAAAATGTCTTGTGGTGATTCACAATAAAACTGAGTGGTTATTATAGGATTAGATTTTTAACATTTCAGGACAGACTATAGGGTTTCTAGTATTAGACAGAAGTCACAGTGGTGGCCCAAAGAAAAGAAATGGACTAGTGATCAAAAAACGAATCCCTTCTGTTTTGTCTGTTACAAGGTCCAGGTAAATTACTCCTTTCTCTGTTTCCCTGTCCATTAGCACTTAAACCTATTCTCTATAAAGATGAGCTAGAAATAGCAAAAACCTAAACTCTGCCAATTTTCTGGAAAGACCTATTTTGTATATTTTTATTTTTTAAAGTTAATTTTATTGGGGGCTGGGGATTTAGCTCAGTGGTTCTGCCGCCTGCCTCAAAAGTGCAAGGTCCTGAGTTCAGTTCCTGGTACCAAAAAAAATTTTTACTGGTGTACTTTTGATATACATAATAATCACATTCATCACAGGGAATTTGTATCTGTACATAATATATCTTTTTTTGGTACCAGGTATTCGAACTCAGGACCCTGCGCTTGCGAGGCAGATGCAGTACCACTGAGCTAAATCCCCGGCCCTGTACATAATATATACCGATCCTTCTTTTTTTTTCCCATTCCTCTCCCTTCCCTTCAACCCGTCTTCCCCTCCTTATTTACAATAGCTTTGTTTGCATTTTTTTCCTTCCATGTATAGAGATTTTTAAAATTTTTATTTTTGGTATCAGGGATTGAACTTGGGACTTTGCACTTGCAAGGCAGGTGGAAGAACCACTGAGCTAAATCCCTGGCCCTCATGTATAGAGATTTTTAAAGAGACATCATGGGAAAGGGGTCAAAAGGAGATTGTAAACATGTCCTTTGCTTCAAAAAGCCTAAAAATCAGGTTTTAAAACTATGCATCTGGGGCCGGGGATTTAGCTCAGTGGTTTCACCGCCTGCTGCGCAAAGGCAAGGACCTGAGTTCGATCCCCAGTATCAAAAAACCCCCAAAAAACTCAAAAAAACTGTATGCATCTGTTAGGACTGTCAATTTGGCTAATACAGTCAAGATACAAGTTGCAAATGATTTTTTTCAGATATATCAGAATTTTAAAAATAAGGAAAACATGCTATTTTATGACTTAAAACATGGTGTGGCAACTGGAAGTAAAATGCATTTCTGAGATAGCACAGTAATTACTAGAAGGTAATACAGGACAGAAGCACTTATAGCAGATAATGAGTGAGGAGATCTCAAGTTGTCATTTATTATCTTAGCTTTGGTCAAGTTACTTTCAGTTCTGGGGCTGTTATTCACCTAAAATGTAAAGATCATTTTAACTTTAAATTACTGTATCAGATGTCATGGGGCAGGGGTAGAAATATTACTGTTCACATTTACCAACTCCTTTATGACTAATGTATTCTTTTTTTCCACAATTAAATAAATTTTGACTAATGTATTCTTTTTTCTTTTTTTTTGGTACCAGGGATTGAACTCGGGACCTTGCGCTTCTGAAGCAGACACCGGAACCACTGAGCTAAATCCCCAGCCCTGACTAATGTATTTTTTTTTTTTTTTTTTTGTACCGGGGATTGAACACAGGTCCTTGGGTTTATGAGGCAGGCGCTGGAACCACTGAGCTAAATCCCCAGCCCTGACTAATGTATTCTTACGAAGTGGGAAAGCTGACTATGAAACTAATGGAAGAGTACAGGGAATACAGAGGTTTGAAATTGCTACTTAGTAATGGTGGATACTATTGGATTGCAGCACTAAAGGCAAACTAAAGATCAAGTTCAATGGATTTTGACTTGATGCTACAAATAAAGTAACTAAAGCAAAGACTTCTCCCAACCTTTACATTACCTTTGCCATGATGTAAAAGGCACAAAGGAGGAGCTGATCCAAATGCCTGTCTTTCATTAAATCAGGGCAGTGAACTAAAGTGAATTCAAAACATGTCCATATCTTCCTTCGTAATTCATTCGAAACATCCAGTTTTAAACATAAATCACGTAAGCGTACACTTGCCAAATGATAGACCTGAGATATAAAACAACACACTGATGCAAAAGCATTAAGTAAATGAGCTCATTTTAAATGTTAAATGTTAAAGAAACACATACCTTTCTGTAAAATAGTGCTAAAGACCCAGTTCTCTTTGGTTTGTTTATTCCAGTCAGATGAATCTCTTGTGTTTTAATCAAATAGGTTTGTTTTGGAGAAGCACTAGTTAATGACTGTGCAGTGAGTGACACAGGACTCTCAATTTTGGGCTCTTGACTTGTATTCATGGAAATAGGAATCAGTGTGATCTCCCCTGAATCATTTGCAACACCTAAACATAAAAGCAAGAGTTCTTAGTTATAGAAAGAAGTTGCATGTGTTCTAGGGAAGTTGTCAATTACATAAATTTTGTCAACTACATATATATGTCACTGTGTGTGTAAGCATAGGAATATGTTAGGAAAGGAGAGGAAGGCTACAAAATAGTAATGCTATGTTAGGGCTGACCTCTTGTTTTCTTTTTTTGGTACAGGGAATCAAACTCGCAACCTTGTGCTTGCGAGGCAGGCAGCGGGAACCACTGAGCTAAATCCCTGGCCCAGCCCTCTTGTTTTTTATTTCCCTCAAATAAGAATATTGTTTTGTTTTGATATTTTTATAATTAATTTTTTATTTTTATTTATTTATTTATTTATTTATTGGTACTGGGGATTGAACTCAGGACCTTGCGCTTGCACGCAGGCGCCGGAACCACTGAGCTAAATCCCCGGCCCAAATATTTTCTTTTTATTAGTACATGTTTGCCATACATAATGATTACATTCATTATGGGGAATTGGTACATGTACAAAGCACATCTCAGTTTTTTTTTTTCCTTCCCTGTCAAACTGCTTTTGTAATAAAGGTGGTTTTTTTTTTTTTTTGGTACTGGGGATCGAACTCAGGGCTTTGC